TCACCGAGAGACTGCTTAGGTAAGGTAGTCCATGCTTATGAAACTGAAATTCTTTCAGTTTCGCGAACGGAAATAATATATGAAATATTATTTGTTCAAGAGAAAAATATTCAATGCATAGACTGGATCCATACGCCATATGACTATATAAAATAACAGTCGAATAGTGCAATTCTATTAGCTGAAATTTGGATGGGAAAAATTCTCTATTATATTTAACGAAAAAAAAATTGCCTGTTCATTTTTCCATGCACACTTCCTACGATAACCACAACTACACTTTTATCTTTGTCACTTCAACACTTCAAATTATGATCATCATTGTGATAATTTTTTTATTGTTATAATTATCATCAGAATTATTTATTATTGAATCAATTTACCGATTAAACTATAGTTAAATTACATAATATCTCTGTGAACTGAATAATACAACGATCAAGTAGAAAAAACCGAAGCGGAATTAACATGTACGATTTGAAGGTAAGATTTTACTAATTGGGCGGTAGACCACTGGTTAGGACGTCGGATTAATAATCGTGAGGTCCTGGGTTTGAACCCACATCAGGGTAATATTTAAATAAACAAAATCGATCTTTTAGCAATGATTTCGTTAGGGTTTGGAAGGTAGGAGGCAATTCATGGTAAAAATCATCTTTAAAAGTATTGATTATTTTGTTTTTATTATGATTGATGATTGTCATGGATAGTTTGGCAGTCAACCATACGTCAGTCGCATGCCGGTATTGATTTTTTATTCCTCCTTGAACCTGTCACGAATGAGCTGGAGTTATATTGAGTTACTTGTAATTCAATCACTCATATCATATTCACGCAAATGAATACTGATTGATTGAGCCTGGCCAACCGCTAGCAACCAACACTGGGCCGAGATCCGCGCCTAGACTTGGCCCCATGTTATCATCCTATTTTTCAACCGAATTTGGTGCGGTCCCGGATGAGAAACGGCCCCCGAACTCCGACAGTCTGGCCGCCGTGCATGGACCGAGCCCAGCCAGTAGGTTTTTTTGCAACCTAGGGTTACTCAACTTTCTTTTTAATCCTCTACTAGTCATCACATTTTTTTGTTCACAGGGAATTATGCTGCCATAAGTTCACTTACAATCTCAGGAACCACTGATTTAGCATATTATATTCTTCAGCTACCATCTTCTTTTTTTTGTACCCTTCGGCTCTATGCACGCGGGGGCCGGACTTTAGAATTGCCACCGACACAATGGACACCAAGTTGGCGGTCTGACCTCTGACCTCTCCGCCACACAGTATCCACTCTTACCTCATCTCTACTGCACATTGCTATACACTAGCATTCACATACGTGCAATTGTGTATTCGAACTCCAGTTCCGTCCACGAAAGATCCGTTCGATTGTGTGCTAATGTCGGGTTATATGCTTCTCTGTTGTCTGTACTCGTATGCCCCAAGTTTCCTTCTTTTATTTGTCGGCGCGGGGGAATGGCGACATATTTTATTTCTGTATTTTTCGGAGATTTGCAAGATTTACTGTGTGTCAGCATTGCATGAGTATTGCATATTTTTTATTTCATAAATGAATATAAAGAAAGAATCCCTGCAAAATTACCAGACTCGCACTATGAATTGGATTTAAATGGCTCTGCTAGACAAAATTTATGGCGATGAAAAATTAGTGTCCTTCCAGGGTTGTTTCCACCGAATTGAATATTTTTTAATAAACATCTCAGTAAAATTTCGGGTGCCGCACAGAATAATGAGAAGGATTTTCACATTGTACATGCAATCTAAAAAAATTTACTATAGAATTTTTGTCAGAAGGAAATTGAATATTCTCCGCTATACGGCATCGCAATTTTTATTTGAATGTGCAGATAATTATTAGGAATTCAGTTCGCATAACGATCTTCACTTTTTGACTCATGACCGATGTCTTCCTTCATGAGTCAGTACTATATCTCCAAATGCTATTACAAATTGAAATTTACCAATGCTTCTATTATAATAGATAACAAATGGGATTCTTTTGAACCACTTTTAAGAATTAATTAACACCCAATAATAGTTTTTTTTACAATAATCAAGTAGCGCATCCGGACTAAAGGAACCACACGACGGTTGAGAATTATCAAGGCTGACGATGGGAAGAAGCTTATATGAACCCTGAGTTTGCGAGGCACAATGGTTCAGGCATCAGCCACTCCAATTCTCATTGTCGATATTAGACTGAAATGATGGTAATTCACAACCTCATCTACGAGGCTTAGTTCAGGCCTAGTCGGGGCCTTGAGTACTAAGGCTGAGTGCGTCAAGGCTCGTCCGGGGCTTTACGAGTCCTCAAGAATAAAGCCTACTTTTAATTATTTTCCGTAATTCTTGGAATGATGATCATCAATTAATGATGGTGAAAAAGTTGTTATTCCTTGCCAAAAATAGTTATAAATATCCGTCACATCATCCAAGGTAAGCCCAAATCAAGCTTGCGGCAGCCCTTTAAGCACGATGTTATATAATTATAGTTATCCTCCTGTGTAATTAATTGAATAATGGATTTTGAACTCATTAATACATCGGATCTATCGGAGCAATTTTTCGAATGTTCAATTTCATTGTATTTCAATTACAGGTATGCAGATAATGATTCAGTACAAATAATTGATAAAAAATAATAATGATAATGATTGTTTTTAATCTATTGCTAATTAATCAATCATTATGATTGACGCTTATCGGGTCATCGACCGTTACTGACGTTCCTAGCCCAGTCGTTTTTATGGAATTCTTGAAATCAACAGAAAGGCTGATGAAAGAATCAGTAATCATTCAAAGAAAAGCTTATAAATAATAATATAATCAATTAGAAAGAAGCGCGATTGACCCCTTAAAATTGATTAATTCAGGGCTTGGATTAGAAATTAACCCTCAATCAGGTTGTCATTTTGGGGCTGAATGGAGGCTGATTCAAGGTTGGGCTCCAGCCCTGATTGAGCCTTGGTTCAAGCCTTGATGAACCTTGTTTCCACCGCTAATTCCTACCTGGGTGGTCTCTCACCATGCCCAAACGACGCGGTCCCATATGTCTCTGCCAGCTAACCCTTGCCTAGTCCATCCATATGCTCTTCTCCCCTATACCCCTTTTGGTTCCTTAAACACAGTCACGTTCCCTCTACCTCCCTCCACAATGTACCTATTGTCTTTGCCGCGTGTATTATACACACTTCCATTATATGCACATGGGTACGTCCAACGGTTGAACGCAAAGTCATGGGCAACTCGATCGTGTTTTCTGGGATGCTCTTCATTTTTAGAGAGTGCGTAGTATTGTTGGTTGGGGCGGAGAGAATACGCACAACATGTCAATATTATGAGAATTAACGTATTAGTTTTCCTTCCTCTCAGCATTTTTCCTTCACTTCAGTTACGCTGTTCATTAGCGCAGAAATACGGCCATGAAGCGTTCAATATTTTTATTAATAATTAAATATCCATTGCACTAGTAGCAAATGTCCATAACCATTAGTTTGTAGGATCAATTAAGTTGTGACGACACGGGTCGTCAACCCGTAATTGATTTTTTGTTTGTAAAATTTGTTTATTTTCATTTTTAAATGAAAACTGAGACCTTCTTCCAAGGAAAAATTGTTAAAAATTAGCCTCTAGGAGACTTCTCTCATCCATGAGAATCGAGAAAGGAAATACTCCAAACCTTTTCCAATTCTAATATCATTTGTTATCTCCGACGGTCATAACTCCACAAGAACAGGTTAAGTCGAGAAGAGGAGATCCTGAGAAAAATCTCTTGGGACCAAACAACATCCAGACCATCCCGTTCAGGCCATTGGAAAGGAGGATTGGACGATGGCGTCCCTCTACGAAGCCCGTGCTTTTCAAATGGAAGCAGAAGATGTCTTCAACCGAGGATCCATTGCCATCAACCACCGAACATCTATGATCCAGGGTACCCTGACGCAAGGAACGACCGGAGGGGGAAGCTCCCCCTCGTCTGACGAGCAAAACCTACAGGAGGGATACTCAGCGAGGGATACTCGAATGTGAATAATATTCCAACGTTGGGGATAATTCACGACATTTAATCTAAAATAATTTAAAAATATCGAGAATATTGATTTATATCCATTTAGGAGTTTTTGATAAATAATTTTCATGTAAATTTGTTACGTAGAATATTCTAGCGTTTAATACTTCTGTTAAAACTTCGATATCCAATCAAATTCCGTGTCTTATGAATTTAGGGGGAGGTTCCTCCCCCAAAACAAGATCAAGCAGGCATATCGGCGAGATGTAGTCGCAAAATAGTACTGTCCGCCGGATTGGCATTTATTTCGTTTATTTTGAGTTAAATTTAGTATTTTAAATTATGGAGGTTGCTGTCTATCCTGGGGCAGGTGATTTCTCACTAATTGACAGGTAGGCAGAGCCGAATTGTTATCAATTTTGAGTAAAATTGTAAGATTGTAGCCTTTGTCTTGGCTATTCTTGAGAAAGCGTCCAAGATGGCGTCTTTTCTAATTTTTCATTATATTTTCTTGAGTTGAGGCAGTTGTGATCAACTTCTCTTATATTTTTCGATTTTTGATGATTACTTTTGGTAAATTTGAATACAATATTGAAGTTCAATAGTTCTGATTAATTTTTGTGTTAAATTAAAATGTGATAAATTGAATTCATTATATTTCGTGGTCACGTATTTACCCTTGTGACATCCGTCGAAAAATGCATTATAATCCATTTTTCCTAAATAATTTTCTCTATGGAATAACCATTATTTCATAATTTTTATGAATGCATATCTGTAAAGAGAGTCAAATGCGAAGATCCCAAAGGTTCCTTGTAGGAATAGAGAAGGTGGAATAATAGACTAGAAAGGGTAACTCAATCAAATGTAGAGACGACACCCATAAAAATTATCCATGTAGAATTAAATCACGAATGAATGAATTAATATTTTCTTGTTTTAAAATTGTGAAAACTATCAATTTAACAAATTAGGAAGGCATGAGATGTCTGTGATTCTCATTACCGGTTGCGTATCGAAGGAAAAAGTTGGGTTTTTGCTTGTAGTCAGTCGGTCTCAAAGCAATGTACTTCTTTAGAATCTCATAAAAGGGCCCAGTAAGAGAGAACGGTCGAGTGGAGCCATTTTTGGTCTTTACCAATTTGACATTGAGGCATGTCTGGTGATCCTCAATGTGTTGAGGAGTCAACTTATAAAGCTCCAGTTGTCTGCAAAACCCGTGTATACCCAGGATGCATGCGACCTATAAAAATTAAAACCGATTAGAGATTTCGTGAACCATGAATTCTCTAGCGAAGTGGTAACACGAGATAAGTGTATTTTTCCCATCTTCGTAAAACTCAGATTGTTTCAGTAAGGAGTAATTTTAGGAGATAAAGTCATAATATCATTTTTCTAGCTGATTATTTTTCCAACGAAAAATTGTTATGATATTTTTTTCCCAAATCATTCTTTGCTGAGATAATACGAGTTTTAAGAAAATATGGAGAATGCTCTTACCTCGTTTTATCACTTCGCTGCAGAATTTTACATGCACGTGCAAAAAAAATAGTAAAAAGTCCTAGAATTTATCACAAAATTCCATCTAATTGCCGTATAAGTTGTTATTAATTTTTTTTTAATTACAAAATTAGGGCTGAAAAAACCGATATATTTTCCATAGAAAATATATCAATATAAGAGCTTGTAGAAGGGAGAATGGAGTAAAATGCACATCTATAAATGAAAGTTTTATTTTTGATTTTTAAAATTTTTCTGTTTCAATAAATATAAATAGATGAGTAAAATATTTGACAATTAGGGAATTGATAGGCTGACAAATAGGACTCCATAGTAATGCAAAAATATAAATAATACAAATATTCACTAATGATTTATTATATCTGCGAATGGGGTTTGCAAATTTTATTTGAGGTTAGTTAGAATTTATTCAAAAAAACAAGAATTACCTTCACTGCTAGCCAGTCTTTATCAGGTGCTATCTCCAAGAATCTGGCTAGCTCCTCCTCGGTGAATATTTTGGCCTTCTTCTTAATATGATCCGACTGTTTCGTATTGGCGGACAAAAAACTCGAAAGAGTGTGAAAGTTGCTGATATCAATTTTGTCATAGGCAAGCAGAGTAGATTTCAACATGGAATAAATGGCCCACAATGATGATGGTGCCATGCCAGGTTTATCCTTTTGACATGGGTCGATTCCATTGGGCCTTCTTAACAGATTGAAATACCCCAATAGCACTGTCTCGTTAACCGTTTTAATTCGTTTCTCCTTTACAAAAGCTTGGAACTTATGATATGCTCGATCATAAATTGGCTTTGAACCTGGTGGTATAAGGATAGACTCAGCTTTCCTGGCTTGGTCTAGAACGTCTTGTGGAATTGTGCACTCATCGACACTGGAGTCAGTCAGTGAATTCACGTTCACTGACATGCTGGATGTTGAACTCTCCTTGTCCATGTCGCTAAACAGTTCGGGAGACACAAATTCCTGATCACTCTCATCACTATCGGGGATTATGATATTTTCCATGTTTGTATTTTGTGTTGTGGCATCGGTTTGCCGATGCCGCACAATCACAAAATGGCGAATATTGTGGTTATAACCGGGGACGGAAGAGGCGCTGTATGATTTTACCCGACTATACGTTTTCCCGAACGCAGAGCGCAGGCACAACCCTCCCAAGTGACGACCATGTCAGAACTCACTATCTGCTGCCTTCATGTCGCGCTTTACCAATCCTTGGATAGGTAAGTGAGACTTACCATGCCTGGTCTTTCACTTACTCTCCTTGGATCACGCATTATGGAACTGATGTGATAAATGCCACTTACCCTGTCTCAACAGAGTCCTAGTAAGGGGCGCTTATCGGACCTCAGTGACGAAAAAGTCAGTTCCACTACACGTTCCAGTTCTTCATCAACTCTTCAGTTGGCTGCTTTCATCAATTCTACAAGTGCAATAGTTACAAGTTTAGAATTAGTAGAGACGCCCGTTCTCTAAGTTAGATAAATTCATTCAGTCCTAAAGTGGGGACCCAAGTAATTTTGAAGTAACAATCAAATGTAGAGTTTTTCGTAACTTTCCTTATTTAAATTATTTTACTACTTTTTGTCAATGAATGGAATCTTTCATGATTCTTTGATAATTTATATTGCCAACTGAAAATATCGGAACTCAATTAACATCTTGGAATTCCAATAATTATTATTCATTCATTCAAAGTAATGAAAACGAAATTATTGTAAACGAATAACTTTAGAATTAGGAAACGACAAACCTGTACAACGTGAAGAAGGTCACGTAAGTTGTACGACCATCATTATAATTGTACTAGCGCCGCCGCGGCCGCAAGCGGCCGCGACGTTGATGCCCATTTATTATGCAATGCCTTTGCTTTTTTTGTTTCTTTCGAAAATTAATGATTTATCGTCGTTTTAGTCTATTGAGTGTTAAAGTTCATAAATACAATACGTCTCGGTTCATTGCTTCTTCAATTTCAATATTATAATAAGTGCTCCACTCATTCTGAGTTTCCGTCCTCATTGAATGAAATTTGAATTACTATTGTAATCAAAATTATATTCAGAGTACAAAACAACAATTATCAAATTTTTCACAGTCCGTAATTTTTTTTGTCTTCGCTTCCCTCTTTATTTCCGTTTACAACTTGACAAAAGTATTCAATTATTTTTCCAGAAAAATTATGGGGTCAATTCTGATGTTCTTTCGCTAATTCGAAGTGTCTTCTGTTCATTCATGATTTTTTTCACAATTTTATTCGACGATGTCATAAACTTGAAACTTTGATGAATCATCTGAAATTTTCCAAATTTTCTATAATCTTTCGAAATTTATATGAATTTTTTTCAAGAAACTTGAAAATTTTTGTGGAATTGTGGAGAAAATCTGAAGAATTACCAAATTATTTCCTCCTTTCACATTTCAATTAATCAGAGTGTAGTATTCGGGCTTTCATGACTGCTTCAAATCAGTTTTATTTGCAAAATGCCGCTCTTTCCTATCAATTGTTTTCCCATTATTTATTCAACAATCCTCGAATATTTGAGAGATATTGTAAATGCTTTGTAATTTTCAAAAACTCCATAGATTGTCTCTAAGTTCTTCAGAAAACCTCATAATTGTCTTGAATTTTTGGAAAACTCCCGAATTATCTTACATTTGGAAAAAAAATTGACAGTTCTGATTTTTTTGGAAACCTGCAACCTTCCTCGAAGTTTCTATAATTCATTC